TGCATCTACGGTCAGTCCAGTGCATCGAGGCGTGTACGAATACAAAAAGAAAATCATACATAATTACAAAGATCAAGACATTTCAAACGTATCGTTGAATTCAGACAAAATCTCAACACGCATAATCGAGTTCGTGATACAAGAGGAGATGAGCGGTGAGACTCAAGACTCTCGCTCCAACTCCGATACAAAGAGCAAAGTGCAACGCTCACACGCGATATCTCTCACGCTATAACTATATAAATGTGCGTACGTATGCTGGAAAGAAAGAGGTATCACACACACATATCTACACAAACGCGTGCGGAGAAGAAGAAGAAGCAGCAGCAGCGGCAGAGAGAGAGAGAACACGAGCTCTCGAGGCTCATATTCTCCTGGATGCGTCGAGCGAGTAACTTTAGTCAAGTGTGACCATCGTCGCGCATCGAGCCTCCCGCTATAGCTTTTTTCTAACTGTACTCGCACGCACACGTATATATACGAGAGAGATCGAGCTTATATATATACGCCGCGACGCATTTTACTTTCAGAAGGAAGAGACGCCGCGTGCATAGTGCATAGTGCAGTGTATAGTTTTACCCGAGTGTATATGTACACGAGAATGTATGTACACCGCCGTCGCGGGAAAATGATCGCGCGCCGCGTTCAGCCGCGCCCGGAAAATTATACATTACATCATCGCGCGAGGCAATGATGTATCTCTCGTAAGAGGGAAAACGCGCGTTACGAATCCGGGTTTTTTTTTCGAAAAAAAGAAAGGGACTGTCGACTTCATCCGCGGATCCCTGCAGCGCGCTGCACCTCATCCATATACTCGAGGGCTACCTATAAAATACCCAATCCCACGCACGCGGAGCTAAAACGAAATCGATTGATCGAAATCTCGCCCGCACGCACCCGCCACCAGCAGCACCGAATCCGCGGACGCCTTTGGTTTCCCCGAAGCGCGGAAATTTCAAGTTTTTCCCTGAAAAATGTTATATATCGAAGCAGGAGAGCAGCAGCGCGCCGAAGCCGCTTTAGCACGAGACTCGTCTATTTTGCAGAAATTTCCACGCTTTCCTCCCCCCTCGCGCGCGCGTCGCCTCGCCGCGTCGTCGTGTGTCCGTATACGTATATATGCCGAGTGCTGTGTGCAGTGTGTCTGCGCGTGCGGCAGATCTCTCTCTCTCTCTCTCGCGTTGCTGCTGGTGGTCGGACGGCGCCAACATACACACACACACACAGCCGCCGCCGTCGCGTCGCCGGCCTCTCTCGAGCACACTGTGGACATGTAAACGTTGCGTCTCTCTCGCACTCTCATCTCTCTCTCTCTCTCTTTTACTCTTTTGCGTGCGCGCGCGCAAAGCAAAGCTCGATGCTGCCGTGGATGCGCAGGCTCCGAAAAACCCCCCCGAGAGAGAGAGAGAGAGAGAGAATGAGGGAGAGAGAGAGAGGAAAGTAGCGCTGAATGTATAACGGGCGCGTGTACGACCCTCTTCCTAGGGGATTCATCCCGGCTGTACGGAGCTCGCGTTAGAGAGGGAAAGGCTCTTCGATCTGGTGTCCGAGCTTTCACTTTATTTAAAACATATAATATGATGATCGTCGTATCTACGAGGAGGATTGGCATTTATGATTGATATTGTAGGCGTCCGGTTTTTATAGTTGTACTCTTCCATTGAAAATACATAAAATGTTAGATAAAGTCAAGAGCCGAGAATTGAATTCCGGACTTTCCTGCCTACGGGGGCGATGTATATCATGTAGAGTTCTTTATTACGCCATAAAACCAGATAGACGACTTCGCGACGTCGAGGAAAAGCCTCGACTTTACTTATCAATTACATCTCGTTTTACAATAAAGATTGACGAAAAAAGAACAAATAAATTTCCTCCAGTAAGAATCTCTGACTTCTCGAAATAGAATCAAATTATAGCCGCGCGCGAGCGTCGAGCTGTACAGCAGCAGCAGCAGCGAGTCGTTTATCTCTGCCTATAGATATACCGTACCTTATACCAAGTATGTATACACAAGTACCGAAAGCGAAAAGTCAGATTGACAATCAAGTGACAATACATTTTGTCGAATACCAGGCGAGCACAACGAGCTTAGAGCTTGGCCGATATATATCGCCGCTCGGCTTGACGCGGGCCGCTCCGTAAGCTCGAGAGGCGCGATCGTGTGCCAAACATGTATTTACATATACGCGTTATAAGTGTGTTATATATATCACGCACATGCTTACACGCACACACACACACACACACACACACATGCTCAAGGTCTCGTGGTGTTATTACGTACCGGTGTCTCGCGTAAGTATATTATAACGCGTTAGACTGCATCAGTTTCGACGCTGGGGAGTATAATAATCGCGACATTGTATCGTATTAATGTAGGCTATAAGAGAACAACTTGAACGCTAAAGAAATCTAATGAACGATCAGTTTTGTACGTTGCTATCTCGAATTTTGTGCATTTGAAGTCTTTGAATTTTTGACGAAATGAAGAAATTGGATGAAGCTCTCGGACAAGTTTGTCAATTGCAACGAGCTTCAAAGCCCCTTTTGATTATTCGTCAAGTGTCACAAAATTTTCACTTTTACTTTCAACCATCCAACCCACAGTCATGTTTCACGGTGTATAATGAGGATCGAATTATTATGCTCGTGTACGGAAAATCAAGCCTCGGGCGGGAAAATGAAAGCATCAAAAACAAGTATTAAAGATCATCGTTAAGCTTCGAACACGCACCAGATTTTTCTCGATATAATTATTTCCAAAATTTCTGCGATAGCAAATGTAGAAAATGCCGCTACAATGCCGAAACGAAATACCAGCGCACACTACATACAATTGATTAAAAAACGCATCACGGGGCGTACATCAAATTATTATACCATCATCATCCATCCTCCACACGGGCATCGGGGTGTCTTCGCGCTCCATCACGCGCGCCAATTTCCATCCTCCGATAACGCGCGCGACGATAAACCCCGCGGGCGATATCTCTCTCGCGGCCAAGGTGGTGGGTGGAGTCTTTCGTTGCATTGTACCGCCTTTAACAAATACTTGGAATTAAGCGAACATGAGCGCGTCGGAGGTGCAGTCGCATTCCTCGCTCACAGCGGCAGCGACGAGCGGAGTCGCGCCAACTATTATATACTACTACGGCGGCGGCGGCAGCGGCAGTGGCAGCAGCGGTAGTAGTGCGAGAGAGGCACGTGTGCTGTGCTGTGTATATATAAAGCAGACAAGCAGGCGCAGCGTGCGAACTTTCCCTACTTCATGTTCGCCTGTCTACGCAAGAGTCAAGCCTGACCCGGACTGGGGACATGGCTCTGTCCTCAAGGAAGGTCAACGGACCACACTAGAGCTTGTACTGCTGCTGCTCATGCGGTGCATAGCGAGCGCAATGTACTACGGCCTATACGTATACACATTATCATTGTACTGTGTATGTATGTGTGCATATGTTTGCAATTGTACCATCAAGCTCGCGTGCAGTATACGGCGACTTTATATATATTCGGACCGATGTATAAAAAAAGCTTATTGCATCAATCCTATTGCTGTATTTTTTACTAATTATTTTTTTTGTGTGCTTTTATTGTCGAGTAAATATAGATCAACGAGGGTATAATTATCGCCTATGTACTGTTGTAACGCGTTGCGAAAAAGTGAAGCTCGATGGGACGTCGTGTGTCACTGTACTTTCGCTCCTTCTCTCTCTCTTACATTGACGGAAAGTTAAGGGGTCAAGTTCATCGTTTCGCCGTGAGCTCGGCTATATATATATTATATGTATATGCTCCGTATATCGTGCTATATGCCGTATTATATGTTTGGGAGTTTACTCACGATGGCGATTTGAGTTGATATAGGAAAACTAAATGTTTTTTACTTGAATTTTATACGTTTTGGTGTGTGGTAATTTCGAGCTTTTCGCATTTGTTTTCATTTGATTTTCTTACACGAATTACGGATTAAAGGCTCGTAACAGAGATTGATGTGAATTCAAATTTCGTCGCGTCTAAATCGGCGATTCGAAGTAAAAAGATTCTTACAGGGTTGATAATTGCTTGACTAATTTTCCAAACATAAAACTCTGTGCAAATGAAAAAAAGCTCCATGAATTACGATTACGTCAAGCAAATTTCAACTGATTCATTCATCAAAATAACCTACCTTCGAGTCTTAAATATCCTTACCACAATTGCTTTTATCAAAAGGTGAATTTTTAATCAATTTTTCCCGTCTCCGTTCCACGAGTCAACTAAAACGCGTGTATATGTTGTACGTGTGGCCGCGCTCGAGAGCTCCTCGACTTTCCTGGCGCTCGGATACGAGGCGCGAGCAACAGACATCTTGCGTGCCTCGCGCTCTCTTCAGCTGGCCGAATGAACCGCGGACCTCGACGAGCACCGCGTCGAGGCAGGCGTGTGTCGTGCACTGCGCGCCGCAACGAGATCGACCGGTCGATTTTGCAGCAACTTTAATTCTCGTGCCAGGCGTGGGTGTGGGTGCGCGCGCGCGAGTTTCGGAGCATATGCAGTGACAGATGTCGGTGCTAAAATTTTGTATGCATGCAATTTACCAGTTACAGGTCTTTATTTTGGGTCCATAAAGTTTCATAAACCAAAAATGTTAATTTTAAGATAGACACGGCAATTAAAAAATTATTTTAAAGGTTGAAAATAAGTAATATAAATGTAATCAGGAACAACTTGGTAATATTCAAAGCAGCAAAGAGGAAAGGATTGAAAATGATTGAAGTCGCTTCTTACGCGCATGTGAGTAAAGTCGTATGTTTGGTTGCTCGCGAATTTTCTGTGGCTGGTAAACTTTTTGCAAGTGTCAGGCTGGTAGAATTTTTAATAACAGTTATTTACCTGAATTTAATTATGTCAATACATGTCAATACATGTCAATACATGAAAATTTAATAAACTTTACTAATTTTCTTTATAATTAATGTCAGTAGTAGCTATATTAAAAAATAAATATGTTCATTATATGAATGTTCTCAATTGGTTTATTGAATTTTTTTTTCATTATAGTAAATTAATGATTATTACATATGTTAAGGCTGATCTATAAAGCCTCATGATATAATACAGGTTTCCATGGATTTTCAATCGTTTCTAAACATAACTTGGTATTTTAAAATAACAACAGTGGCAAATGCATTCATTTATTTTAACACTCATTAATAAAGAAAACAACAGAGTCTGAGCAGCAGAGTGTGCAGCCTAACATGTTCGAGGCTAAATGTTCTATTTGATTCTTGTCGTTTTTGATCTTGAAGAATATTAGTTAATTTGTAGAAATATCTTTACCCTCTTTAACACATCTTCTGACCGGCGCCTCTTTTTAGTAGCGATTTGACACCCCTTGGTTGCTTATGGTACCGAGCATAATGCAATGGTGTGAAACCATGAATGTCTTGAGCATCGATCTCTACCTGCAGATTGAGATCTTCATTGATCGTGAGGAATGTCTCCGTAAAGTTATCATCCCAAATCATGTGTAGAGGTGTCACTCCGTATTTGTTAGCAAGATTAGGTTTGGCGCCTTTTCGCAGCAGAAGTTTGGCCACCTCTTTGTTGCGAATGAGTACAGCATGATGTAGTGGCCTAAAACCATCCTTGTCGCCGGCATTGACTAGCAACGGCTGATCAAGTTCGTAGGCGATGCGGAACAACATCTCCGCGTTCTCAATATCATGGACATAATGAAGAGCAGTGAGTCCCTCCCTGGAGGCCAAGTTCGGGTTGGCGCCTCTTCTCAGCAGCGATTCAACTATATTTGTATTTTTGTTGTGCCACAGGGCATAGTGCAGCGGTGTGCAGCCGTTAATATTAACTGCGTCTATATGAACGGTTTGATTCGCACTGTCGTTGAAAATGAGAAAAAGGCGCAAGGAATGACTGAGTTTATCATAGTCGTGACTGCATATAATGTGCAGAGGAGTTTCTCCAGCTTTGTTGGGCAAATTAGGATCGGCCCCATTTCTCAGCAGTTCAATCATCACCGATGCGTGGAACATACCCTCCACAGCCAAGTAGCGGCGAATTACCTGTTTGTGGCACGATGAGATTGGGATCCACCCGGCCGAGCTCCAGGAATGCCTCGACGACCTCGTCACAGGCAAACTTGCAGGCTACGTAGAAATGCGTCTCGCCGTATTCGTTAATGTAGTTCACGTCCCACCTGGCGTATATTTTGAACAGAAGGGTGATCGATTCCCTGTGGATTACGTAAGTCTCGTCTAATTTATTAACGCGATGCACTGCTGTACGGCGAAGCAGCAATGGCTCGCCGTCTTCACCGAGTTCGGGCTCGTCTCTGTAGCCGGCGCTGATCACAAATTTGACGAACGATAACTTTTTAACATAGCGTTCACCATTGTTGATACACACTCCGTGAGTAGCCAATCCATCTCGTCGTTATCAAAAAAGTCGCGAATGTTTGGAAGCTGGCCCTTCCAATCTTCCATCAAGGGATAAAGTTGACGGAGGAATTCACGTCGCTCATCTTCGAACTCCCAGTTGACCTTTTCTCGCATACTTTTTAATTTTTCCAAACAACACTTGTCGTCAGCCATCTTCTTAAACATTCACACAAACACACTATTGCTTGTATATTTAGAATGTTCGTTAATTTTCACGACAATCACTAATTGGTATCTTGGGCAATTGTACAGCCAAAAAGAGGGAAGAAAAGAATTTCGCTGCTATCGATTCGATCTTTCTTTGTTTAGGACTCTGCTGTGTCGTAACGTGAACTGAATTACTGAAGTGCGGCGTCATAACGTGTGTGCATTCCGAATGGAAATCCCGGAACACTCTCTTTGCGGAATGCGGCGCTGTACTTCGCTGTATGCTCGTACACTGAGCGTCCGTCACAATCTCGACTTGTAACCTTGGAAATGACGAGTTGAGACTCTATAAGATTGCGCATATACAAAGCGATATGTGAGTCGTTACCGATGATATACGAAGAATAACGAAAACATATTGTTTTATTTCTTCTTATTCTGAATTCTAAAATTATGTAATTTTAAAAGTAGTGCGTAACTAGAAAGCTGTATGTTTCATTTTATAATTTTATTGTTTTTCTTCAACTCAAAATAATTATCCATTTGGAAATGATTAAATACAGTACAATTTTAAATTAAAAATTATTAAACAAAATATTTTACGATGAAAGGCTTCTCTAAAATCAGTAAATTCTTCCACTAAAATTGAACCTGCTGTAAAAGCAAGATTGTAAATAGTTGAAAATAGGCTTATGAGTTTAAAGATGCAATGTATATTGTAGTATGTTGGATTATTTAGTCTTATTTTATGGAGATTATTTGTCATAGTTGATTACAGTATAAGCATATTGATGTTGTTTAGTAATTAATTGTAAGATATGAAAATAAAATGGTGTTTCGGGCCCTTTCCCTTCAGAACTTACAAGTTAATCCGGATTCGACTCATGTTTTAAAAGAAACGGTAACTGTTTAGCCTTACTTTGATAGAAATGAGATCTATACCCAAGAAAATAGATATTTATATATCTTCTTTGTCTCTGCTATGATTGAAGGGTAAAATCATTTAAAGGAAATGTTTCAGTCAAAATTGAGAAATTGCAAGCTACATGATATTTCTTGTGGGCGCATTGATCAACAATATTAAGAACTACGCAAGTACATCAATTTAGTTGTTTGATCAACCGTATAATTGTTTAATCTTGTATTCAAGTAATAAAATAAAGTGCCTTTCATTTGATATCTGCTGAAAATATCAAAATGATATTTGAAATGACGTATGTTACACAAGACAGCCGTAAAATTGATCAGATGCCCAGATATTCATAATTTGATGTTCTTATGAGTAAAGTTAACTCATCATCTGGATCTCCTCACTGCTGTTGATATATATATTTTTTTAATAATTTTTCTAATTAAGCGTTTTTTATTCATTTTGATACATTTTTATTTCATGAATTTTTGTCAAAAGTAATGGTACACTACATTATGTATTTTTAAATAAAAAAGTCTTGATTGATTATATAATAGGAATGGAAAATGCTGATGAAATTATTCCTACATTATTCGTGGAAATATTTTTGGAAATTCTTCGAACTTGTCGACTAGAAAAACAAAAAATTAAGGCAAGTTATTAAAAACGGCAGCAAAAAAAATTATAATTACGAAGGGTACAATTTAAATATGAAAATACCTTTTTCAAGGTCATCTTGAGTTTGGCTCTGCTCTTTTAAAACGATCTCGACCGCGGTGCACATTCTCAACAAATCCTCGTTTTTCAGCTGATCAAGGAATACTTCGCAAAAGACAGTTGGCAGTCTATGGCACGACAGCGTCGACAAAAACTCGTTCGCCCAGTGCTGGAAAAACATCTTCGACAATATCGTGGATTGGTGTGCACCACAAAAAGGTCCGGCTGTCGCCTTGTCGTCAGTCTCGCACATCGCGCAGTATTCTTTGTATCCATCCTCGTACACAATTTTACGAGGTTTTCCGATGTGAGCGAAGAATTTCATGATAGTTAAGGCGTCACTTCGACTCAGCTCGTAGCCTCTTTCCTTGAGGATCTCGACGATGAGCAGGACGTCCGTGGCAAGTCTGGCCGATCCACGGAAACTTAAGATGTTGTAATCCCGTCGAAATTTCGAGCCAAAGTAAGCCTCGGTTGGGAAAACGAAGCTGGACAGATCGGCACCTCGATCCAAGAGTGCTTCGACCACGAGCGGCCGAATATTCGCCACAGCCCATTCAAGCGGTGTCCGGCCTTTCTTGTCCCGGGCGTCCAATTCCACCGTTAGATTTTTTTCATCATTGATCTTGAAGAATATTTTGTCTGTTAGAGGAAATTCACTCAAGCTAAGCATGTGCAGAGGAGTGAATCCATCCACATTCGCCCGATTTTGATCGGCGCCGCTATCCAGAAGCAATCGAGTCACCTTCTCCCAGCAGCGTACCACGGCCAAGTGCAACGGCGGATAGGCGAATTTTTGAGCCAGACAATCGGGATCCTTAGCCCGTTAATGGCCGTATGACACAGAGCTTGCTCACTGTCGGAGCCACAGAAGAAGAAGAAGAAGAAGAAGAAGAAGAATCGGGATCCTGGCCGAGCTTGAGAAATTGCCCGACCACGTCGTCGCAGCCAGCCAAGCAGGCCGCGTGAAAATGGGTAAATCCATCCTCGTCGATGTAATTCGCATTGAACCAGTTGTAAATCTTGAAAAGTTCGCGCACGCAGGCGTAGTTCTTCTGCTTGGCCGCCCGATGCAACGGTGTGGTGCGACGCAAAATTGGCTTGCCCTTTTCATCCATTTCGGGCTTGTCTCTGTAGCCGCAGCTAGCCACGAAAATGACGAACGGACATCCCAAATAAAGATCGTCGATGTTATGCATGTGATTCAAGGACTCGGTGAGTAACCAATCCATGTCACGGGTTCGAAACATGTCTCGAAAATTCGGAAGCGGTCCTTTCCACGTCTTAATCATATTGAATAGAAGATCGTGAAAAAATGGATATCTCTCCTTTTCGTTACTCCAATCGACCTTTTCCCGCATGGTCTGTAATTTTTTCAAACTACTATCGTCGTCTTGGGCCATCTTTAATTACACTATAGCACACTTGAACGAGTTACCGTTTAAATTGTGTAATAGTCCAAGTCGAGAATCACTTGTTACCGTAAAAACGATCTTCCTTTGTTGTACGCTGCGGCGTCGTACGGTGCGTCGTAGCACAGGCCAAAGTCTAAACAGAACTGAACGATCGCTACGCCATTGGCAGACTGCACAGCGCAATGTGTATGCCGTCGGCTCACACAGATTCTTGAGAAACGAATTGAGCCATGCGCCCGCAAGCAGTAACGTATAAAACATGTATCGCACAACACAAAGTTCGAGATCATATAGGACTCACGATGTTTTTAAGAACGCATGGCCCGATGATGATTGTTACTTTTGCTGCCGGTGCCGAATTCATTGTATGCTGAACGCACGGCACTTAGTGCGCGTTTTTAGCTGCTGAATCAATTATTATCTATTATAGCGTTGAATTAAATTGGCACGCAGATCGGGAAGTTCACCTTTGCAAACATTGATTTATCTTTGTCATGCACCATGAACTTGGTTTTCCTCTATTGAAACGACCTCGACTGCAATTGTCATATCCTGAATAATCCTCGTACGAAAGATTATCGATGATTGTTTCGAAGCAGAGAATCGGCAGCTGGTGGCGCGTTAACGTCAAGAAAATTCCAGCGCCCAGCGTCAAAAAAATTCTCGCAACCTCTTCAAGGAAAGGTGCGTCAAATGCAATTCTTTCATATCTTATCGTCAGTGATCAGTCTGACACATAGCCTCTCGTGTAATGCACATTGTGAACAAAAGTACGAAAATAAGCGAGGCTTTTTAAACTTAGCAAAAATGTTCGTGATCGTCAACTTCACTTTGATTCGATTCGTATCCTCTTTTCTTTAGTCATTCGACGATAGCCCAGCGCATTAAAAGTTGCCAGCAGCGATACGTGATCTACGCGTCGATTTCTCTTACTCACTGTATACTCCGCGTCATGCACGTTCTCCTGGCTAATCAAGTTGCCTGCCTAAGCAGTAATTTATAAGCATGTATCGCATGACTTGAAGAGAGATATGAAGTTTTTTTACTCGTGTAACATACCCAGGACTTCATTGGGGTGCATTAATTAATTGATTATTTTTTATGAAAATACTGATCAACATATAAATGCTTACGCTTCGAAGAACAAATTTTTATTGTAAGCAAGAAAAAAGCTTTTAGTTTAGGGCATTTATCATAAAAAAATTTATTTACACATAAAATTTGTACAATATGTTAACAGTTCACAAATATCATTAAATGATATTTCAAATAGACTAGAAATAGATCAGTCACTGGACACTTCATAAGTTCCCAAGATTGGATTAGTGAGTTCTGAAATACAAATGGTACATTCATTTTAAATGCACTTAAGTACTGCTTTAACGTTTAAATTGTTGGCCTCCGTTGCTTTTGTTGTTTCGAAACGCATTTGTACGCTTATTTCTGCGAGCTGCATTTGAATTCTTGTTTGATTGGAAAAGGTTGCCACCGACGTGTGGTGGTGCTTCGAGTCCGAATGATTTAGCTAGTTTGGCTAAATTCAAAGTATTTACATTAAATACATTTTTTAGACTATGGGATTTATAAGCTCGCAGATAAGAAATATAAGCTTTTTTCGCTAATTCCTTCAATAAAGTGTTGTTGGAAATTTCCTTCTCTAGCTGAAATTTCATTTTAGATTAAAATTCAAAATATCTAATGCTTGAAACAATGAAATAAAAAAAACTATTTGAATGCCTACCTGAAGTTGAATTTTCTTAAATTCCTCCGGATCAACCTCCAATTCTTGAATAGGAACTTTGGCTTCTTCTAAATATTTTAAGAATCCTAGCTCTTCTGATCGTAAAACCAATAGTGCATTTCCACAATTACCTTCTCCACGAGCAGTACGACCAACTCTGTGAATATATTCCTTGAAAATAAGAGTTTAGTATTATTTTAAAGTAAAATATAATTTTTCATCATTACTTTTTCTTATACATACTTTTGCATCATTTGGCGGATCATATTGAATAATATAATCAACATTAGGAATATCTAAACCTCGGGCTGCAACATCTGTACACAATAAGATTCCAGACGATGCTTTACAAAATTGATCAAATGTTTGTGTTCTTTTATTTTGTTTTTGATTTCCCTATAAAATGCATATCATAAGTAATACATAAATAGCTGAAAGAAAGAAGTAAATTTTTGTTCAAGAGTTTAATGAATTACTTACGTGAATACACATGACTGGTACTGTTTCATCCATAATCAAATTCAAAATTTCATTATGAAATTTTACAGACTTGCAAGAAATGAAAAATACCATAATTTTCTTTTTAGGATTTTGTGCTAAGAAGGTATACAACATGAGAAATTTCTTTTCACTATCTACTGTAATATATCCTTGCGTCAATCCATCAACTGTAGCTTTATTTTCATCATCATTTACACCAACAAAAACTAACTCTTTTTTTAATGCAAGAGTTGTCAATGCCTTGGTTTTTTCAGTTTTTGTGGCACTAAAGAGAATTGTTTGTCTTTCTTCTAAAATAAAAAGTTAACATTCAATTAAAACCATAGAAATAATTTAATTAATATTGCAAAAATAGAACTTACTAGGAAGAAGTTTAATAATCTGTTTTAAATCTCTTTCAAATCCAATATCTAACATTCTATCTGCTTCATCAAGAACCAGGCACTGAAGATTTGAAAATGTGAAATTTGTCGCATTTTGTAAATGATCTAGTAAACGACCCGGTGTGGTTACAATAATATTTACACCAATTTTCAAATTTTTGAGATCTTTTTTGGTATTTGTACCACCCATCATAAGACAATGAGTATGATTATGGTATTTCATCAAGTCCTTGAGAATGCCATATATTTGTATCGATAGCTCACGAGTTGGAGAAATAATTATACATCCAGTTCCTATGAACCAAGGAAAAGATAAAAAAAAAGAATAGGAGGTTATATGTATATACATTTTTGAAAACAGTAGATTTAACTTCTGAGATAGTCTCACCTTTGGATGGTACAAATTTATGTTTATAAATCAATTCCACAACTGGAATGAGGAAAGCTAAAGTTTTTCCTGAACCTGTTTTAGCCGCACCAACAATGTCGTGTCCTTCTAGTAAAGGAGGTATTGATTTTGCTTGAATTTCAGTCATCTGCGTAAAACCCATATCTTTGATTGCTTTCAAAGTATTATTACTAACTTTATCTTTCAATGAAGAAAAAGATTTATCTTGCGTAACATCTGAATGAATAGATGAGTTGAGTACTATTGAGGTAGACTGAACATTGCAATTTTTTTTCCCCTTAGTTTCCTTTTTTGCACCGGATACATTTTCTTTTCCTGCATTTGACAACTCAACTTTGCTGACTTCATGCGTGAATTTGCTTTTCTCTGTGTAGAAAAATCATATCAGTTTATAATTTAATATTATTCAGTAATGTCACTGAAATTAGTTAACCTACTTGCAACTGGCTCATCTTTTTCTTCTACTTTTACTTCTTCACTTTTCTGATTGACAACTAGAAAACAATGAATTTTTGATTAACTTCAATATTATAACCAACCAAGAAAAAATATTTAGAATATATTTGCACCATTAGCTTTTTCACTTTCTTCAACCAACTTCATTTTTTTCTCTTTTATTTTTTGTCTCCTCTTCAAAGCTTTATTGGGAACAGCCATTTTGAAATTTTTTTAATAACAATTATAAGCACAGTAAAAATCAAAGTAAGTTGGAACAATAAAATGTCAGGATCTGCCTCATAACCAGTATTGTCAGAAATGCGACGACAACGCTACTGCTACCTATACCTACACGTGTTTTCTCATGTTATAATGCATTTTGAAGCTGCTTATGATTGGCCTCGAAGATGAAATCGACCCCCACCCCAGCAAGCTTGCTTGCTGTAAAAAATCGATCAAAATTTATTTTTTACGTTCTCAGGAACATTCGATTCTCCATTTTGAACATTTTAATCGACAAATACGACGAGATACATATTGAAAAACTGGTATTTTTTAAAAAACATGGCAAAGATTTTTTTTCGTTCTCTTTCGTTCTGCGCACGCACTATCAGGTATCAAGACGTACTAAATAAGCATTTGTCTATACGTTTGATATTTTTTATTTATTTATTATAAATCTATTGAATATTTTTGGAATCCGAAGTTGAAGGAAAATCCAATTTCAGTGGGGTAAATGTAAATTGTTGGGAAAAGCATAGTTGTAGAATTTGATGGAAATTATGCTTATTATGAGTTTGTAAAATATGTTTTTTAAGTATAAAAATTGAACTTACCAGTACAATAAAATATAAGCAGTGAAAAATATGAATATAAAATACTTTTTTTTTGTTTTAAGAATGTATTATTTAAACTAATGAATTGTTAAATATGTTAAGCTTGTATTCAAGCAAATACTTAGGAGGCAAATTTGGGATTTTTTAAATAAACGCGCTGACGAGGTCCACAGATTTTCCTGAAATACTGGTAAGTTATAAGACCTGGAAAAATAGTCCTAAAGACTGAGTTTTAGACTCTGATATCGCACATGGCCTTCAGAATCCGTATAGATATATATTTCTATATTTATCGATTTTGAGATTTGTTAAAAAACCATACCTGCGCTAATTGATGATACTTTTTTTCTTAAAACTAGCGGCAAAGTTGCGTATTTTAGGGGAAAAATACTTATGTTGAATTACTTGTCAAATTAAATAGTTATTGATGCAACAACTCTACTGTATCAGTTATCACGCCTGACTAATATCAATTTGATTATTGCTCACACTCGATCGCGACGTAATACGTATGTGTAAACGTACCGAGGCTATATGAAGGATCGAACATTTTTTAGATGCATATTGCATATTATATTTTTCTATATCATATACGAAATAATCGATATCAACTTCAATTCCCATTTAAACTTAATTATAGCTATGAAAAAACTATGTAACCACTGTTAGCACTCGAAAATTCATTTGAATTTCGTAGTGTGCCTGGGCTTAAGAGCCGATGCGCGACATCGTATGCGCAATACGCAACGCACATGTTGGAGGCTGAATCGTTCGGAAAATCTAATTTACTTTCTAAAATAAATGCTCATTCATTAGAAGTGTGCATTACAAGCATCAGTCTGTATAAGTTCGTAAAGCTATTCACATCTTCATCTTCTACCTTTCTCAAGTTTTGGTGCGTGTTATTTTCGATCACGTGTTAAGTTTTCACTTGTTTTAAAAATCTTATTTAATTTTTCAAAAACGTGTTTAATCATTTGATTACATCAGTCTATATAAGTGCGTTAAGTGTTCCGAGTACAAATCTATCATGGCAGAAAATAATGTTGAAACCATTTTTTTCAACGAGGAAAATATAAGAGATATGTTAAAAATGTTTCGAGGAAATACTTTTGAAACTGATTTTAAACAAATACAGGAATTAACAAATACGGTAATACGTGATCCATCTACGCTTTTGAAAATCGTATTAGACCAGCAGCTTTTCGAAGTATTTGCATCTACGAAGGAACACGTGGTGTTAAATATTCATGAAATATTTATTGATGGGAAGTCTGCAATTCATTATCTCAACTGCGTATACGAATCGGACTTACGAAGCGATAATCGTCTCATCGATTGTACTTTAGATGATCTCCAACCGGAAAGGGCATTGAGCAAATATCATGCATACGATAAACCAGAAACTAAGTTCGTTATTAATTTTCTTCTGAAAGATTCCGAAGAAAATCATTGCGACGATCATGGATTCACCTATTTACATGGAGCTTGCTTCAGTGGCGATGTCGAGGCGGTGAAACGATTCGTAAGCCAAGGCGCGGACGTTAATGTCGACTCTTACACGTGCTCGCCGCTGCACATGGCCTGCAAGTACCACCGAGTGGATGTCGTGAAGGTCCTGTTGGAAAACGGAGCGGAACCAAATCATCTGGACAAAGAAGATGAGTCGACTCCGCTTCATGCGTTGGCCCGACTGCGTGTGTGCGACTGTCCCGAGTTCTGTACCGACAATATAGACGACGACAAGAAAGAGAAGAAGAGAAGACCAGTCGAGGAGATCGTCGACTTACTCGTCTCGAAAGGAGCAAATATCGAGGCACGAAATGCTCGAGGTTTCACACCTCTGGAATCGGCGGTGTCGCTTTTGGACTATGAGCTGACAAAGTCACTCTTGGAACGAGGGGCGAGTCTTGACAATTTGAGCGAGAATATTACGTTTAGCACAGAACATACATCATCCGAATTGCGTGATTATCCCATTACTTTTTACATCGCTGAGATGATTCGGTTGTTGTCGTCGAATGGATTTTACTGGAAAGTTGACACTCGACTGAAAATTTTGAAGTTTTTTATGAAATATCGCGATTTTTATATAAAAGATTTGATTCGGTACACCGAAAACGGTGAAGTGGATTTAATACGCACTGACCTTTGCCTGACTCCTTATGAAGATTTTGGTTTTTATTGGGATCAAGAAACTGCCGATTACTTACGTAAAAAACGGGCACAATCAAGATTAACAATTCCTTCGCTTATGTTGGCGATGCTCAATTATATTCCTGAAAGCATGTTCATCTACAGTGCACCTTCGAATCGAATCGAAGTTGAAAAAATGAAAGGCATTATGGTGAATACAGACGTTTCGCTGTTAGAAATTTGTCAAATGAGTTATCGGAAAGCTTCATCCATTTTGAGCAAAATAAAAGATTATCGTTTACCAGCATTAAATGGTTTAAAAAACTTCACTCGAAAAATAGTAAAAAAACACATAGCAAACGTTCTGTTGAGGCCACAATTTGAACTTTTGGCCGCCGATCTCTTCATGGCGGATCATTGTCAACTGAAACTGCCGTACACTGCCTGTCGAATAATCGCGGGACACATGAGCGACGAAGATTTGTGGCGCTTGTGTGAGCAGACAAAAGAAAGTGATCTAGAATAAACGACACCTGCCAATGAAGTACACGACTGTTTGAGCAAAGATTTATTTTAATTAATGTAATTTTATTTAATTTTTACACAATGTACTCATATGTAAAAGTGTACTATTACATTCTTTTAATAGCTGTAGTGTTTAATAATATTTAATTATCGCTAAAAATATTTCAATTAATTTGTGCAATTTGTATTTATTATTTCACAGAAACAATATTAGTATATCTCTGACATAAGCAAATATGATTGAAATCATGTTTCGAGTCATTGTTCCTCAGATAAGTATTTTTCATGTAAATAGACGTAAGAAATTTTTAAATAAAGAGAAAAAAAATACAATTTTTAAAATGTTATAATAATTCTTATTTAGAAACTCGTCATTATCCAAATTGATGACTTTGTCCAGATATTGTTTTATGTAAAATTTAATAATTTCTTAGAATCCAGGCTCAAATCGAAGATGTAATGCTTCGTTAAGAAGTTATGGTTGTTTGAAATGAAAAAATGTAGAAATTTGTGGGAAAAATCAACTTCGCATTCATAAAGTAAAATTTTTATGCATCTGATCTTGCAAGATCATGCAAGGGTGAGAATGAATAAAATTTTGTCAAAAACAATTGAGTTTCGAGAAAAAGTTTATAGAAAAGAAAGTCCCGGAATTAATCGAGGATTATTTTGAAACTTTTTGAATATTTATCAATATGATTCTGGGAAATTGAAAAAAGTCTGTCTCGTCATACGTACACGGAAAAAAAGCTCCGTAAACGGTACGAAAACGCTAGTTGTGACAACAAAACTCATTTTTGTAGCCGCTACCAAAAGATTTTAGTTGCGACAACTATTATCCTAGTTGCTGCAACAAAATGGATTTTTGTTGTCCTAACCAAGAAAATAGTTGCCGTAACAAATACATTTTAGTAGCGAGAACAAAAACAAATTTTGTTGTTGCAACTAATACAGCAGTGTACAGATGTCAATAGCAGACACCGTCGGCTCGCGGTAGCCGCAGCGGTATTCGACTGCATATCTTCGTGACAGTTGACCAATTCTTCGTTCGAACGTTCGAAGTTTTAAGCGGGAGAGGGCGCAATGGGCCAGTTAACGCATACATACGCATACATGTGATGTTTGAGCGAGCAACAGACACGAACACGGCAACGAGACGACGGCTGCGACACGCGCCGCAGCGAGGCAAGAGCGAGCGTGAGAGAGATAGAGGTATCTGTCGCTGTACAGGCAGTACAGAGCCGAGAAGTTTTCGTCCGTGCTACGCATCGTAGTAGAGGGGAGCGAACAACTCGCTGAAGATTAATCGGTTCCACTCATCACCAACGTCAAGTGTGCTAATCTGTTGGCCAGGGCAGCAGTTTGGCACGAGGCAAAGTCATCCTTGTTCGTTGCACATCCAAAACCAAACGGCACGACCACTCGCAGTTCATGTGGGTCTTCATGAGCATCGCCTTGGCCAACAGATTAGCACACTTGACGTTGGTGATGAGTGGAACCGATTAATCTTCAGCGAGTCTTCGAGTTTAGTATACGAGGGTCACTGCATGTTGATTTTACACCGAGTAAAAACACTGATAACCTCACACTTCACTAATATCAAAAAAAGGGCCAGCTGCCAACTACCGAGAGTTTGTTCGCTCCCCTCTACTACGATGCGTAGCACGGACGAAAACTTCTCGGCTCTGTACTGTCTGTACAGCGACAGATACCTCTATCTCTCTCACGCTCGCTCTTGCCTCGCTGCGGCGCGTGCCGCAGCCGTCGTCTCGTTGCCGTGTTCGTGTCTGTTGCTCGCTCAAACATCACATGTATGCGTATGTATGCGT